CTGCCAGGCTCCCCTAGGTGGGGAAACCGTGATCAGCCTCATTGGGCTGAGGTGAGAGGCCCAGGGGATTGGCTTTGGGCAGCAAGCTAGGGCTAGGACTCTTGGGGTCTTAAGCTGTGTGACCTTGGACTAGTTCTCCCCCCACCACCTGCATTTTCCCATCTGAGAATGGGGGTGGGAAGATGTTGGAATCAATTCACAAACATTTAGCCTGCAGTGTGGGGGAGTGGGACCTGCTCAGAAAGCTGAGGATCTCCCTCCCAGTAAGTGAGGCGCAAGCAACTGGTGGACAAGGGCCTCAGAGGCTCATACCTGCCCCAGCATCAGAACCTTGTCCCTGTCTCGGCAGTCAGGGGCTGTGATGCGGTGATTCTGTTTGGGTTTTGGTTTTAGGCAAGGGGTAAAAGACCACCTCCACGACCTCCTGGCTCAACGTATTCCCCATTTAAAGAGGAGAAGTGGGGAGAAAAGGACTAAGCAAGCCATTTGTGTGTTTATTTGAGGGGGGGGTGCATAATGTTTCCTAAAAGTCCTCTGTATGAAGCACTGTGCGGCGGGGTTCTGGGCAAACAAGGGTTCGAGAGTGACACAGGTCTTGTCCTTTTGGAACTTCCAGCAGGCAGACTGGGGCCCAGGCCTTGGCCTCAGGATCCCCACCCTGGGCCAAGTCATGTGGTCAGCCTGTCTTCCTGTCTGCCTCTGAGAGACAAGCTAGGGTGCATTACAGAATAACCACTATGAGAGGGAAGGACACTCTCTGTGGAAGGGACTTCTTAGCAAAGACATGGTGATTAGACCACGTGGGCTCAGCTCAGGAAGAGGAAGGCCACCTGGTGTAACTGGACACTGGGCTAACTATAAAAGACCCATCCTGGTCCACAGAAGGTGGCAGGTCTGTAAAGAGGGAGGCCTCTCAGAGCTGTCTCCTGACGGGTGGGGGTACTGAGACCCTGGGTCGAGAGAAATGAGGGCCAGGAACCACAAGTACAGCTTGGGAACCTCAGGAGGAGAAAACCACAGGGCCAAGTATGACTCGGGAGAGGCGGATTGACAAGCCTTGGCTCCCAACCTGGTTGGACCACAAGGGAGGTCTCTGAGCGATCCTACCCTAACCATACACCTCTGGAACTTAAGATCTTCTGGGCTCCAATCTGGGAGAGAGGGTATGGAGGAGCATGTGGAGGGAAGATCCCAGGCCTTCGCAGCAGTTGGATTCCCAGGTTCTGGGGAGGCCTAAGAGGGTCCTGCTATCCGCATGGTCAGCAGTTCAAAACCACCAGCAGCTTTCTACTCCCATAAAGCTACAGTCTTGGAAACCCACAGGGGGTTGCTATGAGGCAGCACGGGACTCAATGGCAGGGAGTCTGGGGGAGAGCATTTCAGCACCGGACGACGGACAGCGCTCGCACAGCAAGGCGAGAGGAGAAGCGGGAGGAGGAGCCAGCATCCCAGGCTCGCAGGACCGCGACGTCGCTGCCCAGCCCGGCCTCCCACCTTCCGGACTGCCGGGCTCCGCGCCAGGACTGAGCTCGGAAGTAGAGGGGGCGAAGGACAAGCCCGGAGGAGTGCAGCTTATCCAAAGACCGCTCGCCCCGTCCCCTGCTGGAGTACGTTATCCCGCGAGCGAAGCTTGGTTCTCGGACGCCAGCTGCCACCTCCCTCTGCCCACACGGCCTCGGTCGGCTGCAGTCGTGGCAGGGGCGGGGAGCGGGAAGCACCTAAGTGCGCAGGCGCCACGCTTGGCTTCTTTGCTTGTTTATTGGCTGCTCTTGCCGCGGACTAACAAGGCCACTCTCCAATCCGAGAGCGCCTGGGGTCGTCCCGCCTTCCCCGTGACCGGAAGTCGACTCCTGTCGAACCCGCGTTAGGGAGGAAGCTCCCGGTAGCCAATTAGGAGAGGCGAGGGGTAAGCCCGCGCAGCGCAGGAGCCAATGGCCAGCGGCGCAGCGTGACGCCACGGGCATGGCGGCGGCGGTCAGCCGGGGAGGGACGTGTCGGGCTGCCGAGTAACCTCGGTCTTTGCCCCGGGAGTGGAGTAACTGCCTTGTTCACACTTGTGCACGACAGGCGGCGAGGCGGGCCCTCGGGGAGAGCGAGCGTGGCGGCCATGGCGTATCATTCGGGCTACGCAGCCCACGGTGCGTGGGGCGCGGGGCGAGCGGGCCGCGGGCCGCCAGACTGCCGGAGAGTCGGCGGCGCGCCCCGTTCAGCCCGAGGGAGCGGGTCAGTCCCCCTGGGCGGCGCTGTCATTGAGCTTCTTGCCCCGTGCGACTAGCCAACGCGTTCCTGACTTCAGCCTCTTGGCCCAGTCCTGAGGATCAGGGCAGTGACCGTCCAGGGGGGAGTCCCCTGGTCGACTTGGACACTAACGGGCCCGCCTCTGCAATTTGCTTTGCTTTCTTGCCGCGTGGGGTCCTGATCACTGTCCTGGCCTCCAGGCCACCAGTCACCTCCTCACCCTTGCGGATGTGGGCATGGGCTCCCAAATACCTTATCCAACTTCCGCTCACTTTCTACAGCCCTGTTCACAGATCATCCTCCCAGAACCTCCTAGAAACACCCAGGTGGGCAACCACCTTCAGGAGCTGCCTCCGCTCGGTCTTGGCCACATTCACCCCTCCACTTAAGCTCTCCCAGCTCCCGTAGCCGCCCCTCTGTTGGCCTGCTGCCCCAGGCTTGCCCGAAGCACTGGGGCTGCCTAGGCTGGGGAGGGAGGTGGCATTGGGGCACCAGCTTCCTATTCCAGCCACTCACTCGAGTACCTCCAATCCTGCAGGCTCCAAGCACAGGGCTCGGCCAGCTCCGGACTCCCCACCCCTCTTCGATGACACAAGCGCTGGTTACTCTGGCCAGCCAGGTGGCTACCCGGTCCCAGGAGCCGATGTGGCCTTCAATGTCAACCACATGCTGGGGGACCCGGTGGCCAACGTGGCGATGGCCTATGGCAGCTCCATTGCATCTCAAGGGAAGGACTTGATGCACAAGGAGGTGTGGCCTGCCCCAGGGTAGGGGTGGCCAGGTTGGGCTTCCACATGATCTCTGTGCCGCCCTCAGGGAAGGAGCGCACACTGGGGCTGGGGGTGCAGCTTGCCCACAGCCTCCTCTCTCCCCCGCCCCCAGCTTCATCGTTTTGTGTCTGTGAACAAACTCAAGTATTTTTTTGCCGTGGACACAGCCTATGTGGCTAAGAAGCTAGGGCTACTGGTCTTCCCCTATACACATCAGGTGAGCTGTCCACCACGTGAGCTGGTGGGACCCCCACTGCCGCCCTCATCCTGCCCAAGACATCAACCCCCCTCTCTCCCTTTTCTCTGTCCTCTTCTGCCCTGACCACTGCCAGAACTGGGAACTGCAGTACAGCTGTGATGTGCCTCTGCCTCCCCGGCAAGACCTCAATGCCCCAGACCTCTATATCCCCAGTGAGTCACAGCCTGGGCTGGGCGGGGGTTTGTGCCTGGATCTGCTCGGGATGGTTTCCTGTGCAGCGTCTCCCGGCAGATGGGCTGGGTGACCAGCGAGGAGCTTACACCCTTCAGAGCCTTCTGGGCATTTGCTGGGGAGACCTCCCTGCTTCTTTGACTGGGACCATAGAACATAGGCCTCTTAGCCTGGAGCCTTTTAACTTCCAGCTAGGGGAACCTCAGGCTGGTTCCAAGGGCTGAGCCGGGATCTGGAAGTGCTCAGTAACACTTAGCTGCAACAGTCAGCATGACTGCTCTGAGATCTACTCAAGTACCCCCCCCTCCTCCAGGAAGCCCTCCCAGGCCTCCCGAGTCTCCAGATCCGCTTGGGCCGATTGCAGTGGTCAGGTTGTCCAGGCCATCATGGCCAGTCCACTCTCATCCAGGTGGCCCAAGGTGGAAACATTGAGCTGCTGAGAAGGGCTTGTGGATGTGTCAGGGCCAGCTCTGCAGGAAGCCACTCATGGTATCAGGGATAAGCAGCCTGCTCAGGGGCCTAGGAGGACTAGATCTCTCTCATGACCTTCTGGCTTGGTAGCCAGTGTGCAGCAAGAATTGTGATACCCTGTCCAACAGGTGAAGCTGGGGCTCAGAGACTTAGGGTTCTTGGAGACCATACTACTGCTGGGGATGGGCTACTTCCGTGGCTCCAGATCCTGGGGCTCCGTCTGTGGGGATATCAATGCTGGGGCTCCCCGGGAGGCTACACCCAGAGCCCTTCCACATCAGCAGTGTCGCCAGGCTTAGTTCTTTCTCAAGAGCTCAGCCCGTGGCCCCAACACCAGGGACATCAGGGTTTGTCTGCCAAGCCTAGGAGTCTGACCTGAACATGTTTGGCCCCATTTGGGCTGGGCTGGGCAGTGGCCTTGGGCCCTGATTCTGTTTCTGAGACACAGCAAGGGACAGCACAGCAGGGGGAAAGGGTGGCTGGGTGGTCCTGAGAGAAGGGTCAGGTGACATCAAAACAGGGGAATCAGGCTGGGCTGGGCCCTGGAGAACGGAGCCCGACAGTGGGATGGGGGAAGGCCATGTGGGGGCAGCTGGCCTCATGGGCACTCAGCTGATGGCATCTCTCTGGTTCCTGACAGCGATGGCTTTCATCACGTACGTGCTACTGGCGGGGATGGCGCTGGGCATTCAGCAAAGGTCTGTGTCAGCCCTGACCACCCCCCCCCCCCCCCCCCCCCCCCCCCCCCCCGCTGGTTGATACCCCCAGCGCTGGGTCTCATCACCCCCAACCTTGGCCGCAGGTTCTCCCCGGAGGTACTGGGCCTGTGTGCCAGCACGGCCCTGGTGTGGGTCATGATGGAGGTGCTGGCCCTGCTCCTGGCCTTCTACCTGGCCACCATGCACAGCGAGCTAAGCACCTTCCACCTGTTGGCTTACAGCGGCTACAAATACGTGGGGTGAGCTCACCTGCCAGGTTGTGACCCCCACTGGGCCCCTGGGTGCACCGAGGACCCCGCTCAGCCTCGGCTCAGATGTGGGGGGCGAGGGGGTGGGGCACCTGCAAATAGTCCCTGGGACAAATGTGCTCTTCATTCTACTCTCCCGTGCACTGTTTGAAGCCCCCCTCGGAAGAATGCTCAGGGCAGTGGGTGTTGAGAGGCCCTGGCGGCCCGAGGACAGGCCTGAGTCCTGGCCTGCCAGATTCCCTACGGGTGGGGCCAGCTGGTAGCCTCAGTGTTCCCCACCCCCTCCCCAGGATGATCCTGAGCGTGCTGACTGGCCTGCTCTTTGGCAGCGACGGCTACTACGTGGCCCTGGCCTGGACCTCCTCTGCGCTTATGTACTTCATTGTGAGTCGGTGGGGGGCCACACTGCCGGGTCAGAGCTGGGACCCTCCTGCTCCACCCCGGGCCTCATTGCTTCTCACTTCCAGGTGCGCTCCTTGCGGACAGCAGCCCAGAGTCCTGACAGTGTCGGGGGCCCACTACCCCGACAGCGCCTCCAGCTCTACCTGCCGCTAGGGGCAGCGGCCTTCCAGCCCCTCATCGTGTACTGGCTCACCTTCCACCTGGTCCGGTGACTCCTGCTGCCCCGCCCCCACCCCGCCCTGCCCCCTGCTTTTGTCCACACATTGAAAACTTGATTTCATGATGTCTCTGACCCTACTTCCCGGGGGGTGGCAGATTCCCCCAGGCCTCTCCATGCTGGGAGCCCCAGGTCGGGGCAGGGCAGGACAGGGGAGATGGTGGTGCTGGGTGGCCCAGGCAGCCTCTGATCCATCTCAGAGAGCTTCACAAAGCCTGGGGCCAGAACCCCTCTGCAGCGACAACCGCCAGGAGGAGAGCCAGGCCCCGTGTTTGCAGTAGTTTATTCAGAGTTTGTCACAAATGGCCAGGGAGGGGGTGCTGGACTCCTCCAGGCAACATAGAAAATGGGTCCAAGAGACGAGGGGTGGGGGGGAAGGGGGCAGAGCCAAGAAAGGGGCTGGAAGGGAGCCTGGAAGGTGGGGGCAGACTAGGGGTGGGGCTGCCCCCTGCTGAGCCTGCTCATTCCCGGTGGGTGTGGGTACCCCCCCACCTGCAGGGGGAGCCTCAGGGTGGGGTTGGAGGGGGGCGGCCCAGACCGTCCAGGGTCAAGCCTGGCCCCATAGCAGGGCCCAGGATTTCCCGGAAGTGGCCCAGGCCAGAGGCCCACCCCTTCCGGGACTGACTGCCATGCCGGCAGCTGGCAGAGGAGCCGGGGCCTGTCTGGAGCTCTGCCCAGCCCTAGTCCAAGGAGGAGGGCTCTGAAGGCGGGGGTTCCCCGCAGCAGCAGTTTGGGGGTGGTGGTGGAGAGGCTGGGGGCACCAGTGCCCCCTTCCCTCCCCGGGGCTGAGGCCTCTGTGGCCAAGGGGCAGGGCTGGGGGTGCACAGGCGTCCGGTCCGTTCTGGGCTCACTCCCTGGCCGGCTTCCCCCTCAGAAACTCACCAACGTATAAACCATACTGCAGGGGAGGCAAGGAGGTGAGCTGGGGTCCCACCCATTGTCACCCACCCTGCCCTGCCCTCCTCCAGTCTCACCCGCCTCACCTGTACAGGTAATAGAAGAAGGAGAGCAGGTAGAAGGCCAGTTTGCACCAGGACTCCTTCTGGCAGTAGTTGAGGATGTCGGCATTCATGATGGAGACAGCGTCATACATGACCTCGGAGCCATCTGCTGGGCGGTGGAAGTACCTGGAGAGGGGCAGGTGGGAGGGGCCTGAGTGGCTGGGCCCCCCTCCCCCCTGGGCCCCACCTCCCCACTCCCTGCCCCCTCACCTCCAGAGGTGGTAGAAGAGAAGGGGGATGTTGAGGCCCAGCGTCACCCACTCAGCGGCACACAGAAACATCAGACAGAAGAGGCCGTGGATGGAGTACTCTGGGACCACCAGCTGGGGAGGGGGGAGAGATCAGGAGCCTGGTGCCAGAAGCAGTGACACTTGGAGGAGGGGGTGCCTACACCAAACGGAGTGTTACGCCAGTATTTGGGGGCGGGGGCAGAGCTGCGCTGCTAAGACCCTGGACAGAGTGGGGCTGCACTGCTGAGCCACCAAGGGGTGTTCACGGCTGGCCCCTCCCTGGGTGGAGGTGGTGCTACCAGTCCTATAATGACACTGGTTTAGGAAGGGCCCCCAAAGGCCTAGAGCTTCCCACCTCCACCCACGTGGCCCAGTGGATCAAACGGGCTGAAAGGGAAGGAAGGTCAGACACTAACCTTCCGCAGTAGGCAGCAGATGCGCTCGATGTTTTTCAAACGCTCACGCTGCGAGGGAGAGGGAAGCCAAGATGGGGTTGGCGGAGATGCTGGATTGGGGTGGCCTGGTCCTCCTCCCGCATCACCCGCCACCCCACCCGTGGCCACCAGGGGGCACCAGCGCAGCCTGTGCAGTGGGCTCCGTGCGGCAGGGAAGCAGCCGCGCTGTCCCCATGGCGACCGTCACCATGGAGGACCTTCACCCGCGTCTCCACGGCAACGGCCCAGAGCCTAGCCAAGGCTGCCCTGCCAAGAGGAACCTGAGCCCCGAACCTGTACCAGGTGTTCACTGGGGACAGGGACAGGGAGGAAGGGGCACCCCCTCCAATCCCCACCCTTATGTTTCCAAACCTCCACCCGAAGCCCTGCCCGCTACAGATGGAGAGACAGACGGACGGACACACCTCGGCACAGCACATGTATCACTTACTGCCCGCGCTGGGTTCCCCTGGTCAATGGGGTTCTTGAAGTCGGTCCGAAGCTCGTCAAAGGCTATAATCTGGGGGAGGGGCGTGTGCCCGTCAGGGGTGCGGACCCCTTCATTCATCCCTTCTGGAGGCCAGAGCCCAGTCCCTGGTCCCCCATCATTCTTGACAATCTGGAGTGGTACCGTTGGCCCTGGAGCCCCTGTCCACTGCAGCTCCGTGCAGGCACCCCAGGAGATGGGTCCCTCTCTATGCCAGGCCCTGGGATAGCCCCCTGGAGCCAGAGACCTGGGATAGCCCCCTGCCTTGAGGACCACCCCCCAAGCTCAGGAGAACTGCTAACTATGCTCTGGGGTGACCAGGTCCGTGGGCGTGGGAGAGACCCAGGCTGTATGGCTTTGAGAGCTCCGTGCTGGGCATCTAACCCAGTCTGGGCACCACCACGGGGCCCAGGCTTGACTCTGAGTGGTGGCTGCCTGGTGAGCAAGTGGGGGGAAGGGCAGTCCCGGCAGCAGAATAGCAAGTCCAAAGAACAAAGCTTCCTGGCGCTAGAGGGCAGGCGTGAGCAGAGTGGGAGGCCCGGAGAAAGGGGGAGATGGGGCTGGAGGGCCTGGGGCAGGCACAGGTGTCCAGTGAAGTCAGCCCCAAAGCCCTGGGGGGCCACTGAGGGCTTCGATCAAGAGGATGTCTTCAGACTGGTGGGGACAAGAGGTACTGAATGAAAAGTAGTCAGACGCTGGGGCTCATGGGAAGGCAGCAGGCTCTACGCACACTCTTCATTCTCGCAACAACCGGATGCACTTTGCACACACGGAAACCAGCACCCAGATTCAGTGACCTACTTGGGGCACCGGCGCTACTTAGTGGGGGAGCTGGGATTCGAACCCATTCTGATTGGAGTTCAAATACCTAGCCACTGGCTTGGAGTGCTTAGGAGGTGCTGTGGGGAGGGGGAGCCTGCAGGCATGAGGCCCTCCAGTCCAAGCTGCCAGGGTCAGGGATCTGTCTGGCGGGTGGTACCCCAGAGAAGAAGCAGGTATTTGAGGGGCTGATGGGACAGATCTGGGGTGGCTTGGGGGAGGAGGGATGACAAGGGTGCTTGCTCTGGTCCCCTCCCTTCCCCTCCAGCCCAAGAATGTGGCAACAGGTCCCCTACTCCCAAACTTCCCAGACCCCAGACAGCCCGAGGAAGAGAACACTGGCTTCCAGCAGGGGCCATCTGGAGTGCGCTCCCCCAGCTCCCATTGACTGGGCAGGCACAGCGATGAGGTCCAGCAGGGAATGGAAGGGGCGCCGTCTGTCGGCCCAGAGCTGGCACCACCAGCAGGCGGCGGGTGTCGTGCCTCCCACCCCGCAGGCTGCCTGGCGCTGACTCAGCCCCCCGGAACAAACAATCCCCCACGGTGACAGCTGACACACGTCACTCACCACCAGGGTTGCTTACCAACCAGTGGGGCTGGAACCAAGGGGCTGGGGTGGGATCGGGGGTCTTGCTCTGGAAGGTTCTAGCTCTTGCCAGCTTGGATGGAGGACCACGCCCCCAGCCCCTCAACAGACCCTGCTCTGGACACTCTGGTGTGTAGACAGGCTCAGAGAGGGCAAGTGACTTGCTGAGATCACACAGCTAAGTTTCAGGTGGACTAGGTGCCAACACAGTGGGTGCTGAGTCAGTCTTTGCTAAATGAGTGAGCGTTACTTCAAAGCTTGGGCCTTCTCCCTAAGTCTTTTCAGCCTGGACTTCCCAGAGCCCCAGAGTCCAGTCCCCAGGTAGCCCCCACACTGCAGTGTGTGGGATGGTGGCTTGCTGAGATGCGGCTGAGGACAGGGCTCATGGGACCGTGTGGCCCGGCCCGGGTTGAAAGTCCTGGAGCCACCCTTTCTCCCAGGAGTTGGTTGGCTCTATTCCCTGGCCTGTGGCCCTCCAGTCCCTCCTTAGGAGCCCCCCCTCCCATCTCTGCGCCATGTAGCTGTCCAAGGCTTACATGAAGATAGACCATCAACAGAAGATGGAGAAAGGGAGCGGAAGATGGAGAAAGGGAGCGAGGCAGAGAAGAGGGAAGGGGTCAAGGGCTGGGAGGCAAAGCAGCGGGGAGAGATGGCAGGGACAGGGGGTGAGGGTGTTATGTGTCCCATCCCTGCTCCCAGCTGATAGAAGCAGCAGAGGCTGGAATCCCGACAGAGCAAGGTACCAGGATGGAGGGAAGAGGGAGGTGGATGAAGCCCAGGGAGGTTCTGAGGCAGGTCCCAGGAAAGGGAAAGAGGAAGTGGGGAGACCTGGAAAGAAACAGGTGAGACCGGGGAGTAAGAGACGGGGAAGGGGCTGAATGGGGAGGTGCCCCCCAGAAGAGCGAAGCCCAGGGAGGCGTGTGCAAGAGGTATGAGCAAGTGCAGGTGTCCAGAAAGTGCCCCTGCAAGGAAACCTGGTCCTGGGGGGTGTAGGTGGGGAGGGGAGAGCAGTAAAGGGGGCCAGAGGCTGCCAGCCAGGCAGTGGAGACGAAGGATAGTCCCCCAGTGAGGAGATAGAAGCCAGGCCAAGAGACAGAACAGTGGAGGGACTCTTGGGGGGCCATGGGGTGAGGAGGGGTGACAATAAGGAGGCTAGGAGGTGTGGAAGGGGGCTAGTGGGGGGAACCCAGAAGTGAGCCTATGGTGGAGGCACATCTCTGGGGGTGCTCTGAGCCAATCCTTGCTTGATCAGGGAGGGGGTACCCCCCGGGAAGGGAAAGGGTTAATGGGCTCTGACATCCGTGGGTCCTGTAAACAGATGCAGTTGCCATAGCAACCAGCTCCATCACTCAGACTGGAAAAACCCACAA